CTGCACGCGACTGCCCGAGAACCTAAACGAGTCAGGCGTGAGAAACGGGAATCGGTCCAGCGCGGAGGCTGGCGTCACCACTGGCTTTGGCAGTGGTTGAACGATGTCGGCCATCCTATGACCGGATCCAAGCCTGGTGAGCTGGATGTCCTTAAGCAAAGTGCCGGACTGCATGCAATTCTTCGGGAGGTCGATCACACAAGCGAGGAAATCTAATAAATTCACGCTGAGAATATGTGGTACGTCGTCTGCCAAGACCGTAGTCTCCACGATGCCCAGGACGGCACCTAGGCAGAGAGGGTAGAGTATCATGCTGATGATCTTGGCCGGGCCGCCGACTCCGTGGGCTGCCCGCGGCCTCCGATGCTCTGGGGGCACTTCCACATACTGAAGACCGACCTGCGCTAGTGCGGCCGCCTCTCGGTTCAAGGCCGCAACGCCGATCAGGTCGCTCCCGGCCCCCGGATCCACGAGCCCCTGCGTGGCCGCCGTGACCAGGTAGACGCTGTCCTTGGTGATCTCCTCCTCAGCCCGTCGCCACGTGGCCAGGGTGTCGTTGGTCACCGGCTCGCTGCAAGTGCCCGTCTCCCAACCCGTGAACGTGTAGCCCGCGAGGTCCCGGCGGTCGCCACTCTTCGGGTTGGTGTTGAGCGGACACTCACGGCTCCAGTGGCCCTTCTTGTGGCACGTGTTGCATTTCGTGATCTTCATCTGCTGCTCGATCGAAAGCTTGGGCAGTCGACTCCTCTGATCCTGCTTCTTGGGTCGACGCTCCGGCCGCTGCTCTCGACGAGGCTTGGGAGGTCCCTGAACTGCTCCGCCCGTCTTGGAGCCTGTCCCGGGTGTCCTGGGCTTGCTTCCGCGGAAATATTCTCGATCCTTCTTAGCTGCCCGTTTGAGCTCTTTATTCTGCTTCCATGTCCTGCCCACGGGCCGGGTGGCGATCATGGTGAGGGCACTCTCTAGCTGGTCCTCGTATAAGTCGAGGTCCTCTAGTTCAGCCACCAGCATCACCTCGTCGATCTCCTGGTCGGCATCCTCGTCATCCTCGGAGTCGGTGTCCCCGTCGTCCTCGGAATCCTCACCGCCTTCGGACCGAACCGGGTATGAGGAGGAGTGGGGATGCTGCTCAAAAGATCCACGCTCGCCTCCGGCGCCGGGAGCTTCGTCCTCGGCGTGGGCGACTAGCATTGATCCCGTCCTACCAGGCAAAAGCCGCTCACCTCCGCCTGAGTCCATCTGTCGGAGCGCCCAGCTGACACTCTGGTAGTCGAGTTTGCCCTGAGTAAGTGTGCGTAAGTTCTGGGTGCCCTGGGCGCTGAGCCCGGCACCCTCCTCCAAGAGAAGACCTTTCAACTTCGACGATAGCCACATGTCATTCCCTTCGGCGTCGGCGAGCTGTGCTTCCCGACGGCTGACATACTGTACCAAGCTCTCCTTTGGCTCGCGAGCAGCCTCGAAGAGCGCCTTTCTACCTGACCGTCGAAGTTCATCACCCTCTCTCTCTCCAGTCCAGAGGTCCATTCGCTTGAGGACCGTCTCGATCCAGTCAGCTCCCGTGAGAACGTTCTCCGGGATGTCATCGAACTTGGACTGGGTGTTCCAATCAAACAGTTTCAGGAATTTTTCAGCCCGGCGCCAGGTCGGCACGTCCGTGTTCTTGTTCCATCGCATCAATGCCTTGCGCCAGGCCCTATAATGTCCCCAGCCGGGCCAGGCGGGTGGGTCCGAGTAGTCGCCCTTGGCCGACCAGCTCGAGGCACGCCAGTCCCCGGACCAGCTGTCCCAGGCGCTCTTGGCCGCCCAGGTGTCGCCCCAGCTCTTCTCGTCCCACGTCGTCTGGTCGTCCCAGCTCTTGGACTGGTCCCAGTTCTTCTTCTGGTCCCAGTCGCTGTCTTGCCATCCGTCCTTGTCTGCTGCTGCTGTGGAGCTGCGCTGCGTATTCCAGGGATCCTGGGATGACCAAGGATCCTGGTGCCCCTCCTTGCAGGATGTCGCCGCAGGTGCTGGTGTCGCCGTCGCCTTCATAGTGTCTCGCACTATCCCTGCGACCAGGTTCACCAGCTCCTCCTGCGTCATGCCGGCCGTGCCGCCGGCCGCCTGCGCCCCCGCGCCGGCGCTCGCGCCTTCGGCCAGGACCCCCTGGCCTTCGGCGCCCTGCTCAGAGAAGCCGTCGTGACTCGTTCCTGCCTTCCCCTTGTCCCCCATGCCGTGGTGCCACGCCAGTCGACTGCGAGAGCAGCGGCTGCCTCCCGACCGTTAAGCACTCATGCGGGCGCGCCGGCTAGAGCCCGCCCGAGGAGCACCTGTGGTCCGGGAGGGTCCACTGCTCCGCTACCAACTGTGGCAGCAGCAGTGACCCCGAGATGGTTTTTGGACTTGAGCCATATCGGCGAAGGAACGGAAATCCAAAGTGCTGAACCTAAACGACGAAATCTGGGCACCAGTCACAACAGGCTCGTGCGACGTGGGAGGCTCTGGAGATTAGAGCCAAAATCGTACCTTCACTATGTTTACGTTGGTGTAGAGTTTGGGCCAGGACGGCCTCATGGTCTTCGACTGTGTCGGATCTTAAAACTTGCTCGGAGGCTGCCTGGCCAGCTTACTAATCTGCTGCGTTGTTGCAAACAACCCTGCGCGTACCGCTCGCTGAAATGATATCGCCTTCGATGCTGTCGGTATATGTGCGCCCTGGGGTATGTCAGCAGTTTGCGGGACTGTGTTTCGGCATTGCGTTCCCGTACCGATTGAATCCAAAAGATCACCTTAAAGCTTCAGTTGTGTTCAAAGCCCTTGCCAGCGGGGCCTTGCAATCCGCCATTGTTCCCGCTGCTCTGGGAAACCCCGACCACAGCCACAAGGCCATTAGGCCTGCAATATGTGCAGTAACTGCGTCCTGCGGAAGCCACGCTGGGAGAGGGACTTTTATACATCTGAGGAGATTTCATTCTCGTGTGAGCTGGGCCATGCAGACATGTCCACGGACGGTCCATTGTATGAGCGAGTATTAACCCACGAAGAAAATCACCCCCTACACTTGTGGAAGTTGTTGCAGGAGAGCCTTTGGAATGGTTCTGGTCTGGCGGTGATGGTGGTCCATCTCTGATGCGCACACGTCCAGCTTGCTGGTGAAGTGTATACGCATCCAGTGTGGCATAGGTGCTAGGATGTTCCTCGGTCCACGGAGGTATGCCTGCATATGTGGTGCCCAATGCTTCTGTAGCCTTCTGAACCAGAGTTGTGGCTCTGCCTGTCGCGCACAGCGTGCCCCAGGGTTGGCCTGATACTGCGCAATCCTTCTGACATGCAGGTTGCAAGTGGACGCATAGTTTCGGCACAAGCAGTCGCATTGCTATCATGGCATGCATCCTCTCCCCATCGTTATGTCAACAATGTGAAGCTGCTGCTAGCAGTGGGACTGCCTACTTCTCATGCAAGGGTAGCGTGTAAGCGCTGGCTTCATATATTGATGGACCAGCGCCAGCTGTTATGCTGCGGTTCGGGTAGATGTGGTATGACATGCATCTGGCCAGAGTCAACCTCCTGGACTAGCTGTACTGTTGGACCGGATACTCAACGATATGAATTGAGAAGCTGGAACACATTTCACGTTCTCCTAGGGTCTCTTGGTCGATACACACGTACTACGAGTGTTTGTCCCCTCGACGCGACAAATACTAGCCTTGATGCGATGCGACCTATTCGTTCTTGACCGCTCAGCGCCAAATCGTGTCCTCTGGTCTTCTTGCTTGGCTGTCGCTGAACTGTGGGTGCAGTCTGCTTTTGCTATTTCCATTCTCTCCCGCCCCTAGCATGCAGCTTTCAGAGGAGGCGAGAAAAACTACCATGTAAGTCAAGCGTCGTACGCCTCATCCTGTGCGCCGTGCGGCGAGCAACACCTGCAAGCTGCGTATCCGCTCTGGGGAGGATCTGGACACGTGCTCCTCCTCATCCTCCCATTCCCTCTCCTCCGCCTCCTCCTCCTCATCCTCCTCCTCCTCCTCCTCATCATCATCCTCATCATCCTCATCCTCATCCTCATCCTCATCCTCCGCCTCCGCCTCATCCTCATCCTCCTCCTCCTCCTCTTCCTCCTCCTCCTCCTTCTCACTCTTCCCTCTCCTCCCTCCTCCATCGTTCCTCCTCCCAGTCCTGTTTTTCTTCTCCCTCCTCCTCCCTCCTTCTCCCGCTCCTCATCCGTGTCCTCCTCTTCCTCGGTCTCCATACCATCGTCCTCCTCCTGCTCCTGCTCCTGCTCCTCATCATCACCATCATCAGCAGCAGCATCACCACCATCACCATCATCAGCAGCAGCATCATCCGCTTCCTCTTCTCTTCATCCCCAGTCTCACCCTCACTCTTCCCTTGTCGTTCACTCCTGATCCTCACCCCAGGGGGGTACAGAAGAGGGGAGGTGAGGGATAAGCAGGAGAGGGAGTTGGAGGAGGAGGAGGAGGAATAAAGTGGGAAGGGAGGGGGGAGGAGGAGGAGGAGAAGGAGGACGAGGAGGAGGAGGAGGAAGAGGGACGAGGGAGGGATTCAGAGAGGGAGGGAGGTGGGGTTGGAGAAGGAGGAGAACAAGGATATGGAGTGAGGCTAAGGCTACGGCATAAGTGTGGAGGCTCCCGTTTCGGCCCATTTGGCGGCCCGCGCTCCGCGCGGGAGGCGAATCAGACCGCCTGGCCCCTCGGGCCGGGCCCCGAGGCCCAGGCACACCACGGCTTCGCCCCTCGACCCGCTCAGGCCTCGGGGTGGAGCCCCCAGCTCACCAAGCCGACTCCAACCGTGGAGGAGGCGGAGGAGGAGAAGGAGGAGGAGGGGGAGGAGGAGGAGGAGGAGGAGGAGGGGGAGGGGAGGAGGAGGAGGAGGAGGAGGGGGGAGGAGGAGAAGAGGGAGGAGGAGGAGAAGAGGAGGAGGAGGAGGAGGAGGAGGAGGAGGAGGGGGAGGGGGAGGGGGAGGATTCTCCTCCCTGTCTCCTCTCGCCTCGCCTCCGCTGGCAGGCACGACGCACCCCAGCATCTGGCCCCGAGGAGCCCGCCGCGCCCCCCCCCCCCTTCAATCGTCGCAGTCTATCATCGTCGTCGTCGATCGTCGCCGCCGCTTGGTGCCGAGCTGGAGGGCGACGGGGATCCGGAGGAGCAACAGCAAGACCGACTGCCTCCGAAGAGACAAGCCCAAGATTCCGGAGGAGGACGAGGAGGAGGAGGAGGAGGAGGAGCCGCAGTAGCAGCAGCAGCAAGAGGAGTGGCAGGAAGAGGACAGAAGGAAAAAGAGGAAGCGGACCAGGGAGAGGAGCAGCAGGAGCAGGAGGAGTAGCGGGAGCAGGAGGAGGACGAGGAGGAGGAGCAGCAGCAGGAGGAGGAGGAGGAAGCAGGGGGGCTCCCCTTCTCCTGCTGCGGCTGCTGACCCTTGTGCTCCTACATCGGCTGTGTCCCGCCGCCGCTGCCGCTGCCGCCGCCGCCGCCGCCGCCGCCGCCGCCGCCGCCGCCGCTGCTGCTGCTGCTGCTGCTGCTGCTGCTGCTGCTGCTCCTCCGCCTCCTCCGCCTCCTCCTCCTGCGTAACGCTGTGCCTCCTCCCCCTCCTCCTCCTCCTCCTCCTCCTCCTCCTCCTCCTCCTCCTCCTCCTCCTCCTCCTCCTCCTCCTCCTCCTCGTCCTCCTCCTCCTCCTCTCCACAATTACTCAATATGAATATTACTCTCCTCCTTCCCCTGATGACGGGTTGGGAGTGTTCGCCCCCCCCCGCGTATTGTTTTTTACACCGGATTCCCCGGAGTTGGGTTTTCGCTTGCATTTTTTCAAAATGCTGCTCTCGCTGAGGCGCCGGCCTCATTTTCGGGCCCCGCTCGTTCCGAATCGTGTTCCCGCTGCAGTGCTGGTCTCATTTCCGTGCTTCCGCTCGTTCCGAATCGTGCTCCCGCTGCAGCGTTGGCCTCATTTCCGCGCTTCCGCTCGTTCCGAATCGTGCTCCCGCTGCAGCGGTGGCGTCATTTCCCGTGCCATGCCACGGCATGCAATGCAATGCTAGGTTGCGTTCCGCTGCGCGATGCCATGCCTTCAGCTGAAGCTGTGATACTTACGCAGGCCGAAATGTTTTCCTCTTGAACCCCACATGTCGGAAGCGACGCGCCGATCCCCTGTTTTCCTCCCACCTCCTCTCGCATCTTCCCTCATCCTTCCCCTCTTCATCCTGGGAAGACCCCCTCCCCCGTAGAATCATAGCATTGGTCTGCAGATCCACAGCTCCATGGACAGCATGATGCTTCACTTGCGGTGCTCCGCGGATCCAATTTCCATTGGGTCCTGGATGTTAATTATTCCCTGAAATGAACGGATACATCTTCCTTTCACACACAGGAAATGGGATCCGCGCAACACAGAAATAGGATCCACGAAACTCTCCCACACCCGAAAAGGGATCCAATTGGATCCATTGATGTTCTCATATTTTAGTCGAAGAGGACAAAACTTTCGGCCTGGGGGTGGAGGGTTTAGCACAAAGCTTTGGCGGGTTAGCACAAAGTGTTGGCGGGGGGACGCAGCTCGAAGTCCCAAGGATTTAGCACAAAGTGTTGGCGGGTTAGCACAAAGTGTTGGCGGGGGAGACGCAGTTCGAAATCCCACTGGAGGATTTAGCACAACGCGTTGGCGGGTTAGCACAAAGTGTTGGCGGGGGAGACGCAGCTCGAAATTCCAAGGACTTAGCACAAAATGTTGGCGGGTTAGCACAAAGTGTTGGCGGGGCAGACGCAGTTCGAAATCCCACTTACGCAGGCCGAAAGATTTTCCTCTTGAGTCCCACATGTCGGAAGCGACGCGCCGATCCCCTCTGTTCTCCTCCCACCTCCTCTTGCCTCTTCCCTCATCCTTCCCCTCTTCATCCTGGGAAGACCCCCTCCCCCATAGAATCATAGCATTGGTCTGCAGATCCACAGCTCCGTGGACAGCATGATGCTTCACTTGCGGTGCCCCGCGGATCCCATTTCCCTTGGGTCCCGGATGTTAATTATTATTCTTTTATATATACACATATATATATATAATTCCTGGGGAATAAATTGATCCATCGTTTTTTTGCACCGAGGAAATTGGATCCGCGCAGCACAGAAATAGGATCCGCGAAACTCCCCCACACCCGAAAAGGACTCCAGTTGGACCCATTGGTGTTCTCATATTTTTAGTCCAAGAGGAAAAAGATTTCGGCCTGGGGACGTATGCATTGTTTAGGTGCCACGTCGTGCTATGCCATATTACTTTTTGATGTGCAACGCCACGCTATGCAATGTTATGTTCGGGGCCGCTCTGCGATGCCATGCTTTGCGTTGCAAAGCTTTGTGCTGCAATTCTTTATTACGCCACGCCACGTCATGCTGTGACAGACTACGCTTTGCGGTGCTCTTCTGCGCCATGCCACGCCGTGCTCTACAATGCATCGCGTACCCTTTCGGGATATCATTGCCCTGCTCGACATCCGACTGCGCGAGTAGAGAGGGGATCTACGCCATGGTACGGGATGGGAGGGAGGGGTAGGATGTCAAATACGCGAGCGCACCTAGCTTGTCAGCCCCCCCTCCTCCTCCTCTTCGTCCTCCTCCTCCTGTTCCTGTTCCTGTTTCTGTTCTTGTTCCTCCTCCTCCTCCTCCTGTTCGTGCTCCTGCTCCTCCTCCTGTTCCTCCTCTTCTTCCTGCATAACGCTGTGCCTCCTTTTCCCCCTCCTCCTCCTCCTCCTCCTCCTCCTCCTCCTCGGCCTCCTTTTCCTCGTCCTCCTTCTCCTCCTCCTCCTCGTCCTCCTCCTCCTCCTCCTCCTCCTCCTCCTCTCCTCCTCCTCCTCCTCCTCCTCCTCCTACTCCTCCCCCCTCCTCCTCATCTCCTCCTCCTGTTCCTCTCCCTCTCCTGCTCCTCCTCCTCCTCCTCCTCCTCCTCCTCCTCCTCCTCCTCCTCCTCCTCCTCCTCCCCCTCCTCCTCCTCCTCCTCCTCCTCCTCCTCATCCTCCATTCCTTATCATTATAACTAGTTTCTTCTTGTCTTACCCCGAGGCAAGTTTTTAGAGCGGGCCGGGCGTTTCGCCTGAGATTTCGTCACCACTAATGATTCTGAAGTTTAAAAGGACATCAGCTTCACAGATGGATGGCTGGCGGTTTTCAAAATGTGGCTCTCGCCATAGCGCTGCGCACATTCGCTTTAACAAGTCGCAAGAGCTTCACGGATCGAGGGTGGCTGGTTTCCAAAATTTGGTTCTCGCCTTAGCGCCGCGCACATTCGCTTTTAGAAATTCGCAAGAGCTTCACGGATTGAGGGCGGGTGGTTTTCAAAATGCGGCTCTCGCTTTGACGATACCGGAGAAAAAAAACCAATCAGAATTTGTTTAAGACTATTGGGCTATTGGGCTATAAGGCTACTATAGGGCTATAGGGCTATAGGGCGATAAGGATATAGGGCTATAAGGCTATAGGGCTACAGGGCACCGGGCAGCCGGGCACCCGGCACCCGGGCACCCACCCGGGCACCGGGCACCCGTCACCCGGGCACCCGGGCACCCGGGCACCTGGGCCCGGCCACCGAATCGGCGGCGAACCCGGGCACCGAATCGGCGGCGAACCTCACCTCAGCCTCTAATCCGCTAGGACCCCTACAGAGGCAAGCTCTGATTGGGGAAAAATTGCAAGAGTTTCACGGATTGAGGGCGGTTGGTTTTCAAAATGTGGTTCTCGTTTTAGCCCCGCACACATTCCCCAATCAGAGTTTGCCTCTGTCGGGGTCCTAGCGGATTCATATGGTTAGATTCGGTTTGCCGCCGATTTTCGCCGCACGCCCGGGTGCCCGGGGGTGCCCCGGGGTGCCTTATAGCCCTATAGCCCTATAGCCCTATAGCCCTGCAGCTCTATAGCCCTATAGCCATATAGCCCTACAGCTCAATAGTCCCATAGCCCTATAGCCCTATAGCCCTATAGCTCTATAGCCCTATAGCACTATACCCTATGGCCCTATAGTCCTATGGCCCTGTAGCTCTATTACCCTATAGCCCATATAGCCCTATAGCCCTACAGCCCTAAAAAAAAATGGTTGGGGCTTTTCTCCGGTATCATTCGTTTTTTATTTGCAAGATTTTCGCGGATTCAGGGCGGGTGTTTTTTATGTGTTTCTCGCCTTAGCGCCGCGCACATTCGTTTCAAACATGTGCAAGAGCTTCACGGATTGAGGGCGGGTGGTATTCAAAAGTTGCAAGAGTTTCACGGAGTGAGGGCGGTTCCTTTTCAAAATGTGGTTCTCGTTTTAGTGCCGCGCACACTCGTTTTAAACATTTGCAAGAGTTTCACGGATTCCCATGATCAACTTACCAGACATGGTGTTTTGGAAGGATTCAGGATTTCGCGGGTGCAACAGTTATGTTGAATCGCTGTGTTGAAGTACCAAGAATGGCGTTTTGGCACAATTTCAAATCGTCAGGACGCAGCAGTCAGGTTGATCCGTGGCATGGAAATCCCGAGAGCAATGTTTTGGCATGTTTCTAGGTCTTCAAACGGTTGTCTTCCAACGAGGCAGTTCCTTCAATGGAAATGAACCGTTGTAGGGGCATATGAAGAGGGAGCTTGGAGGGAGGGTTCATTCCACCATCGTTGATGACTCTTGGGTTTACACTGGTCTTCCTCCTCCTCCTCCTCCTCATCCTCCTCTTGCGCTAGGGCTTTGAGCGGAGCTCGTGGCGTCGTGTTTTTTGCGTTGAGCGGACTCTAGGTGCAAAGCCTGCAGCGTTCGACGTGTCCTCCTCCTCCTCCGCCTCCTCCTCCTCCGCCTCCTCCTCCTCCTCCTCCTTCCTCCTCCTCCTCCTCCCGCTCCTCCTCCTCCTCCTCCTCCTCCTCTCATCATCACACCATCATCATCATCGTCATCATCATCATCATCATCATCATCATCATCATCATCATCATCATCATCATCATCCTCTTCCTCCTCCTCCTCCTCCTCCTCCTCCTCCTCCTCCGCGTGTAGCCTCGCAGCCGTTTTGGCCGAGGCCACCTTGCCTCAAGACGGCCG